GGTTGATATTATTTTCTGCCTTTTTTTCTTTTATATATTATGATCTTGTGTGGAGAATGGTATTGTTATTGTTAGATATATTTGTTTTGTGCTTTCATCAGTTTACGAAACCAATCAATCAATCAAATCTGTATTCGACTATGTTTATGAACAAAAAGATGCCATGTAAACATCATGTAATAATGTGCCTATCAAGAGATCTTTCATACATCACTTATTTTCTTCTGTTAATATATCGCTAGTATCATTGTTTTTAGGAATTTGAAAGACATGTTTTGAAGATGAATTATATTGTGTATTACAAGTAATATCTCATGCAAAACTTATAACCCGAATGTTGTGCCATTATATCATATTGTCATATACTGCTTACCAACACTTAATTTTATCATTTACGCGTCAATATCATCTACGAATATGCAATACGAGAGCCATGACTCATTGTGTGAAACCGTGGATTCTAAGCGCTTTCATTAACCAAAGGGATGTTGATGGTATTTAAGTTAATTAATTCAATAAATGGTTAACATAAAATATCAAGCAAAATGTAATTTCAGCATATATTGTTGAAACTGAAAGCAAACACGTTACAAAAAAAGCATAAAATAATAACAAAACACGATGATTTACCTTGGTTCGTTCATTTCTCAGGGAATTATATCTAACATTCAAATAAAGCGATTTTATCAAGTATAAAAAAACTGTAGAATACAAAGATAAACAGTATCGACACCTCACTCTTCTCTATATTCTCACACATTAGGTTTTTCACTATTACAGAAAGAATAAAGATATGTTGACAAATACTTCTCATAACTTTCTCTCACAAACGCTGATGTAGCAACTCACAATTCATTAGTTCGCATTTAGTCAGGTGAGACCCATTGTTGGGCAGGCGAACCCTATTACGAGTTGACCAATTACGAGCTGACACGTCGCGTTTGTGAGAGAAAGTTAGTGAAAAAAGTTTGTGAGTGTAGTATTACCATTACAGAAAATACATAATTGAAACCTAATCCCATTTAGGCTTACCCAAATCAAATCAACCCAAGCCCAAATATCAGTAAATTAATTTTAAACCCAATTAGACGTTGGGACCCCCAAATGAGTCATCGTATGCAGACAATTCGTCAAGACTAAGAGAAGTATACACCATATCCAACATATATGATATAAGTATTCGGCACAACAAGACAACTTAGTGAATCTAAAGAGTTACAACAAAACTTAGTAAATTACTAGGAGAGTGTCTTGAGTTTTTTACTATAAAGAAAACTTCAGATGAAAAGATGAGCAAGTAATGCCAAATATGTCAATTGGCGCGGAATAGTTGTGCTTGAACATTTGTTAATAAGTCACCCTTATTTAAATTAATTAAGATTGCCAAAATGGTTTGTAGTTTTGGAGATATATATGGGCTCGACCATTATATATCCTTCAATTAAAAATTCTTAATTACACTTCATGTGGAGACCGATATTTTTCCTTAATTCATGAAAGTAATAACATATGTAGTTTAGTGGTTCGCTTGGGACTCTTAGATGTATTATCAAAAAGGTCTTGAGTTCGAATTCTTACGACTACTAATGAGAGATAGTCATTGAAAGTTTATTTAACCGTTAACTTTAGGGTCTCGAGAGACTAGTTAAGGTGCGTGCAAACTGGTCCAAACACGCTTGGATATCGAAAATAAATAAATAAATAAATAACACGCCACTAAAAGCAAGAAGCCATTAAGAGCTGTTTCATTTGGCAAGTGATCCAAAAATAATTTCAGCAACAAAATTAAATATAAAGTACTTGTTTGATATAGTATTTAAAATCGATTTTCAAAGTTAAAATGATAGAACATAGGGAACTCAGGGAAAATGACTTTTTTATCTTACTCTTATTTTAGAATGAGATTCAAAAACTATATTTAAAATCATTTTAAATTAATAATAATTAAAAAAAAAGAAAAAAGAAGCATTTCGTAAACAAAGAATTGTACTCAATCCTATATAAAACAAGATTTTTTTTTTTTTTTTTTCTAATTTCTGCTCGTCACATAGTTCCGACAGCCAAGTTAATAATTAATTAATGTTCAGCAAGACTTTGATAATAATATATTTAGAAGAACACTTGTTGCTGCATCCTGTGAGATAAAATATTATTTTCGGCCTTTCTTGAATAAAAACACTTGCTAAGAACAAATTTAAGGTTGTTAATAATATCAAAACCAGCTTAAGAGAAGCTGTATTTTGCTTGAATTACAGACAAAATCACCATCACTGTTGACATAAATTCTTCAGGATAACAAATAAAATTATACTTACCTACAAGAAATTGCTTCTTAGATCAGTCAAAAACTTAGCAATTTCCACCCATAATCTTGCATTATTCTCCAGTCCTGAAGCGTCCAAACTGGAACAAATAATGTACTAAAATAAAATCCTAGAAAGTATCAACCACACTTGCACATTAAATCTTCTTCTTGCAACTTGAAAAAATTCCCAGGTCCATTCCAGGATATCCGAATATGCGCTTGGACTAATTCCAGAGATAGTTGCTTGGTTTCGCCACCGCCCTGGCCTCTAGTGTTTGTGTTTCTCTTAACATGTACTTAATTTCTGCTCTACAAAAGGAATCGCTACAGCATCTATGTCTGAACTGATTTTTGAGAATTTTTTCTGTATCTTTTAATCCCCTTTTTCCGAAATTTTCTTCAAATTGCCGCGTCCCATCCCTATATATATTTTAGTTTTTAGTTCCTATATGTTTTTAGATGTCAAATTTTCCGAGTAGTTAAACTAATATTCAAACTGTTTATATGTTGATGTTAGACAGGATTTAGTTTAGATTACTGTGTCTTCTTCTGGTAATGCAATCCTGGCATTAAGTAGCTTGAGTCAAGCACTCATGCCACTTATGCTATTAATTAGTTTGAAGTGATCATTAATTAGAAATCAATTAGCTCCAAATATATTGTGCATAAAATTGTTAATTAGACTGGTATTGACATTTGATTCTGTAAAAATAATATTTAATAAAAAATCAGACTGCATTTTGATCTTTAATTTGTAAATTCTTGTCGTGTGTTCGAAAAATTTCAAAGAGAAATTAATCTTCAAGCAACATTTATAAATAATGGAAGAGGAAGCTCAAAGGGTGGTGGTGGTCATGGATGCATCAAGGGATGTTAGTCCGAGCGCAATCAAAGGAATCCTGAAGGGCTTATCTCTTAAACCTGGAGATGCACTTAAATTTATTGGAGTTCTTCACCAGGTTAATAATCCTAGTACGTTACCTTTCATGCCAGCTGGAAAAATCTGTAAGAATTCATGCTTAATCTCTTTCGTTTAGAAATAAAGGATAGAATTCAGATACGAATTCTTTCCTTTTGAAAATAAAGGTCATGGAAGATCTCTCTCAGAATTGAAATATATTTGATTGTATTGTAACCTCGAAAGCAGTTCTTAGATACAATCCTAAATAGTACATATAAATGAAATTAAAATAGTAATAAAGGCCCCTTTGTTACACAATTTTTCACTACTCTATTTCCTATTCTATCCAAAATACACATTTATTTCCTTATTCTCAAAATATTATTCTATATTATTCAATTATTTTAAACCACCTAGATTTGTTAATTTAACTAAACACCCCCCAATTTTTTTTTTTTTAAAAATTGACACAAACACCCCAACAACCCACATTTGCCAGATTCTAGCTACTACTACCGAAATTTGGTCGGAATCTGGTATAATGGCGCACTACTGGCTGGATTTAGTCGGTAGTGCGCTGATCTAGCCTTTTCCGGCCATGGATTTGACCGTAAAAGATCAGGTCTTTGGTCGTTGATGACCAAATGCGGTCAAATCTGGCCATCAATAGCTAGATCCACAGTGGATCTGCACGACTAGCCAGATCCAGCAGGTCTTGCGTCGATACGATGACTCTGGCCACCCTCCAATGGTGGTGACCGGTTGTCGGTATTTAATAGGTGGATGGGGGTGTTTTTGTTAATTTTTAATATTTTATTATAAGAGTGTTTAGTAAATAAACAAACCTAGTGAGATATTTTTGTTAATTTTCAAATCTTACATCGTAATAACCATCCAATTTTACTTTTTTCAAAATATTATTCTAAAAAGAATTAGAATAATGAACCAAGTACACCCTTTTGTTTTTCATGTTTTCTAGGATTGTATTATATCAAAAACATTAAAGATACAATTCATACTTTGGATTGTATCCTAGTTTTTGAAAATTATTTTCACATCACAAATTAACTCTCCTTAACTTCTTTTTTTTTTTTTTTTTTCACCCCAACCCCAATTATCTTCGATCTTCCCAGTGGGATACAAGATCAAAGTGGATCCAAGATCAATGTTTGGAACGAACCAGAAAATCATTACGGAAGAAATTTCCAAGAAGAGAGAAGAGTATTATAAGAATGAGGAGATTATGAATATTAAGAGGCAATGCGAAACAGAAAAGGTCAGATAAATATAGATGAATAACACCTTGAGAGAAGTAGTATTATATGTGAATCATCTATATATTTATCTATGGGCTAATGTGATAATATTTTTTGTGTATGATATTCATCAGATTGAGTTTCATGTGGAGGTTCGTGCAGGACCCTCTCTGAAGATGATTGCTGTGAAAGCTGTCAAAAAATTTAATGCGACATCTGTGATACTTGATAGGTCAGTCCAATTAAATCTCAAATTTGTTGATCTTAGTCTTATTCAATTTGGTGAGAATTAGTAAGGTTGGGAACCTCTCACACTCAATTCATAATTTGTGCCAATAATTACTTCTGTGAAATAAATCAAAAAGCTTTTGTATATTAATAATTAGGCATGGGATTTGTGAGAAAAAGATTTCATATATTTATTAATTAGGTGTATATTAAAAAGTTCNTATCCTAGTTTTTGAAAATTATTTTCACATCACAAATTAACTCTCCTTAACTTCTTTTTTTTTTTTTTTTTTCACCCCAACCCCAATTATCTTCGATCTTCCCAGTGGGATACAAGATCAAAGTGGATCCAAGATCAATGTTTGGAACGAACCAGAAAATCATTACGGAAGAAATTTCCAAGAAGAGAGAAGAGTATTATAAGAATGAGGAGATTATGAATATTAAGAGGCAATGCGAAACAGAAAAGGTCAGATAAATATAGATGAGTAACACCTTGAGAGAAGTAGTATTATATGTGAATCATCTATATATTTATCTATGGGCTAATGTGATAATTTTTTTTGTGTATGATATTCATCAGATTGAATTTCATGTGGAGGTTCGTGCAGGACCCTCTCTGAAGATGATTGCTGTGAAAGCTGTCAAAAAATTTAATGCGACATCTGTGATACTTGATAGGTCAGTCCAATTAAATCTCAAATTTGTTGATCTTAGTCTTATTCAATTTGGTGAGAATTAGTAAGGTTGGGAACCTCTCACACTCAATTCATAATTTGTGCCAATAATTACTTCTGTGAAATAAATCAAAAAGCTTTTGTATATTAATAATTAGGCATGGGATTTGTGAGAAAAAGATTTCATATATTTATTAATTAGGTGTATATTAAAAAGTTTCCCCAAAAAAAAAAAAAAAATTCTGATGTCAAAAGGTTTTTTTTTTTTTAATGCGAAGGTAAGTTAATTTGTTTAACAAAAAAATAATCGTAAAGGGTTTTTTAATTTTAATTTTGATGTTGATAAATACAGGCACATAAAGAAGGACAAGAGATACTTCTTGGAGAAGCTGTCATGCAGAATATTAAGGATGAAAAGGGATAACTCTGTGGAACAGTTAAGAGGACCAAAACCAGAATCAGGAAACACAAAATCTCAGGATGATGCTCACCTCGTAACATATGATGAAATGATTCCAGAAATGATTTCAGCAACTCCACGCACTGCTTTTTCTCCTAAAAGTAATTTCTTTCTTTCATTTATTTAAATGTGATAAACATTTTTATTGAACCGGTATACGATACTCTCTTTCTTAGAAAAGACATACTTATTCGTCTTTTTATTTATAGAACTGTCTGAACATGCGTTTTCATAACACATTAAAATCACAAAACTGATAAAAAAAATTATTTTTTGATATATTTTATTTACACAAAAGACAAAAGATCACATTTGTCTACAAATGAATAATCAATTTCTTTTGTTTATTTGTGAAAAATTATCAAACTAACAATATTATTTTATATTTTCTATGATAAATATATATTTATAAACAAATCTCAACAAATTTTTTCTGATAAACCTATGCTACAGTTACTAATTGATTTACCTTGAATTCATCATATGAAAAAATTTATCAAAAACTAATTATCAGTTGTCACATTAGATTTGTAAGAGAAAATTTGTAAGATTCGTTTGTCAACGTAATATTTTTTAACATATTAAGAGAAGAAGAGAGTAATAAAAAAGATTGTGTCGATAACATTCTCCAAAACTATAAACTTGTAAACTGAACGGTAGACTTCATTCATGTAAGTTGTATTTTAGAAATTAGATTCAATCTTATTTACTTTCACTTTTATAGTATAAGAAAATTAATATCAAACTTATTTTGATGATTATTTTTCAGATTCTCAAAATCCTGATAAGACTAATTTAGTTGAAGAACAAGGATGTGAAGATCGTGGGGAACCCCCGTGGCAGAACAATGGAAAATCTTCATTCTCTAAGTCCTCTGCAGGTGGGCAACTCTCCACAATGACTACAGCATCAAACACTGAAGCTTCAAGACGTTCTGTTTCTGCTATACATCTTCAAGAGGAAGAAGAATACCTTATAAGCTTTGCAAAAGAAATAGTTGATGATCAAGAAAATGCTGATCAAAACAAGAGTCTGGGAGAAATTTATAGCACAAAAACCCCAGATGAAAAAAGAGGTTGGATTATGGGATGGAGTCCAAAATATGAAGAATTTCAAAACTCAAGTTGCTCACATTGCGGCAATACAAGACCAAAAATAAGATGCAGGAGAGACTTCAGCTATGCCGAACTCCACGGTGCTACCAAGGGATTTTCGGGGGAGAACTATCTATCAGAAGGAGGGTTTGGTTCTGTGTTCAAAGGAGAGATAGATGGGGTGAAGATTGCTGTGAAGCAACACAAAAATGCCAGCCACCAGGGGGAGAAGGAGTTCAAGTCTGAAGTTCAGGTTTTGACCAAAGCTAGACATGAGAATTTGGTGATGTTGTTGGGGTCTTGTGCAGAAGGAAGTCACAGACTGCTTGTTTATGAATACGTCTGTAATGGTTCACTAGATCAACATCTACCAAGTAAGTACGCTAATTCATACATTTCAACAATTTAATAAAACTCTTGTTCTTCAAAAGGGCTAATTCAAGATGAATAATTTGTGATATATGACGCAGAGCACGCCCGAGTAGTTCTCAGTTGGGAGAACAGGTTGAATATAGCAGTGGGAGCTGCCAAAGCATTACAATACCTCCATGAAAACAACATCATCCACAGAGATATGAGGCCAAACAACATTCTTGTCACCCATGATTATGAACCGCTGGTAACAATTTAATGTGCTTTCTATATTAAAAAAAAAAAAAAAAAAAAAAAAAAAAAAAAAAATCCTGACATCCCAATTCATATGTGCTTGTTTACTTTTTCTTTTTTCAAACTTCGACGATACAAGGGAAATTTTACTAATAGAAAGAATAAGGATAATACTTAGATAGGGGAACGTAATGAGCCAATGAAGTACAATAACAAAAGTAAGAGCATGAGTTATATGCTCGAATAAAGAAAGAGAAAAACTAAGCATTAGGAGAAACAATAGTATGGCAAACCCCAAACAGCATCCATTAAATTTTTTTGATGCTTTGCAGCAGTAAGTCCCACCAGATAAAAGGATGTAAACATGATTCACCAGCATTTCTCGCTTGTTTACTCGCCAGAGAAATTATCTGATTATTTATCTCTCACACCACAAGGACTATTCAGTGTTGGCTCTTACTATCACCATTTTTAAGTTTTTGGATTAAATGTTTTCTTGACTTGATATCAGAGCTGAGTTCTTTTATCATTTTTGGTGTGTCAGCTGGGAGATTTTGGTCTTGCAAGAACTACTCAATGTGGAGACTCGGATAACTCCTCAGAGACTAGAGTTGTAGGAACTCTAGGATACTTGGCACCAGAATATGCAGAATATGGGAGAGTGTCAACAAAAACAGATGTTTATTCCTTTGGAGTGGTATTGTTACAGCTAATTACTGGACTCAAGACTACAGATAAAAAGCTTGAAGAGAAAAGTCTTGTGGGGTGGGTAAGAGCCTCAAACGCCATAAAATTTGAATCAAATCATCCCATTTTAGTTCTAATATGTAAATATTTTGTTACAGGCAAGGCCACTATTAAAAGAAAAGAACTACCCAGATTTAATTGACCCCAGGATCCCAGATTTGCATGAAGTTCATCAACTCCTCTGGATGGTTCGACTGGTGGAAAAATGTTTAAGCAAGGATCCTGAAAAGAGACCACCTATGGATGGCGTAAGTCTTTCATGATTAATCATATTCATTGAATTAAACAAATTATTGAAGAATATTGATACAGCATCTTGAGCACCGACATGCAATGACCCTAACCATACTAATGCACTCTAAGATTCTCAGGCTGGTAGTGACATACAAAGACCTTGAACATACTAATTCACTCTAATATTCTCACTATGCAGTGAAATGAGAGAACAATAGATTGTATATTCAGGCACTGTTCATTAGCTTATTTATAGAAATTGGCCAATCATTACACTCTTTCACACAAGAGTCATAACTATATATAACTTCGAGAATTGCTTGAAAGTTGTTGACGGTTATTTATTTTCTCTAAAGAGTCATATGAAGTATGTAAGGTTTCATAAACTTTGTGATAAGCCTTTCCATACATCGCCCCTTGCATGTAACCATGCAATTATTTAATCATATACTATCAATTATTATCTAAGATATTGTATCAATGATTCTTATCAACGATATTGCAGGTGGTTGAGGCTTTAAATTTCATAATAAAAGGCGTAGCAACTTGTAATATAAGAGGGCTCTCTCCAGCACCTTCCGATTCTGGAAGTAGCTTGGCGGACTCGTCTGATTCACCGTCACAGCTGGAGGATGATGAAACCTTTAGTGTGGAAAGCACAGCAATAAGCAGCGGCAGCAGCTCGAGCCAGATGAGTTTTATAACAAGACACCCACCAACGCCACCGATGAGATTAGCTAGTCAAATATTTTACCCTTCTCCTCCATTGCAATCACATGCAGTTTCATCACCAAGATCAAGCGAAAAATATCATAACAAGAAGAGAGAAAAGTAGAGGTGTAGCAGTACTTTACAGTGAGATGGTGGATTAAAGGAAGTAAAACAACGGATCAGATAATCTCTGTATAATATATTTAATATTATTAGTGCTATCCTGTCACATATTTATGGATTCATATTAAAATCAATTAACCATGGTTATGATTAGTTAATTAATAAATATCATGATATAATGGGAAAAAAAAAAAATTAAAATTCATACATCAGTTGCCTGTATTACCCTCGAATAAACAATATGTCGACATAATATAAACATAAAAATAATATGTCTGTCTCATTTAAGATATTTTTTTGTGATCATTTTTTATGATAATTCATGTCTATTATTTGGAAAATTTAAACTTGGGAATAGCATATTATATCTTTCTAATTGACCTATATCTAAAGATTCGATAATAAGAATATATTGCGGAAAATGAGTAAAATAAGGTTCGATTTGGTTTGTGATCAAAAAACTATTTTCCAATACTAAGATGCAATATAATATTTAAATACTATTTTCAAATTTACAAATTAATGGAGATTAACCCTTATACTAATAATATTTAGGATTGCTTTCGAAAGCTATATTTTGAAAACATTGATGTTGATGCGTGATTTTTACACTGACGAAACACACATGTGAAATGCTGAGTTGGCCCAGAAGACACACGTGAATGCAAGACAAAATAAGAGTAAATGCAATGGGAACAGCTTTTAAAGTGGTTCGGATGCTAAGGTAGCAAGTCGTACGTCCACTGATGTAACGCGACCTGACCTACAAATGATTTACAAATGACTCACAAAGTGATAGTACAAGAGAGAGAATGCTATATATTCTTGAGAGAGAATAACTAATCAAGAGTAAAAATAAGCGAATCCCTTGAATGAGAGAGGAGCTCTCAATTTATAGTGGGATGGATTGAGGTAATGATCATTGAATCTGTGAGTTGGTGGGATTATCCGTGCAAATCCTTCTTTATGTCACATTGCCCATCTTCCAGAGTGATTTGCGCGATTTAGAGCAGGGATTGGACACGTGGGATCATCACAGCTTCTGGCTGGTCTGGCGCGCACCCACTATTCTGACAGAAGTAGGTTGCGGGTGTACCCATGATCTGACTCTTGCATGCTGACTGAACCTTACGTCAGCCCTTATATTTTTTAGGCATAATAGAAGTCCCCTAGTTTTTAAGGTTTGAGGATCGAACCTTGGAAACTATAAGTCATGCCACGATTGGATGATTTCTGGAAATTCTGGTGATTTCGACCTGCTTGAAAATAGGTCGGGGTAGTACTCTGCACGAACACGACCTCGCATGGTCATTGCTTGCTAAGGATGAGCGACCTGACTTCGTCAAGCGTTATCTGTTATGCTTTAGGTATGGGAGCATTTAATGAAGCAGTCTCTACATTGACAGACACGCCCTGTGCGTGATAAGTGCTAGCCAGGTGCATTAAATACGTTGTATGCTGACATGATATCACTTTATCAGAACATTAAATGTGTGACACGCTGAAATGACAACCCTTACCAGAGCATTAAATTCAGATTGGGGCGCAATTAATGCTGAGGGAGAGAGTATGTCGTCGCTTGAGTTCTTCAACGGAAAAGATGAAGATTTGATTTTTCTTTAATCGTGACGCTCACTCTTTCTCACTGATTTGTGACACGTGGTCGTGATCAACGGTGAGAAATTTTGCCTCCCAAACGTCGTTTTGATTCCGAGAAAAACAAACATCATTTCAAGCACTATAAAAACTCAGATTCATCTCAGGCAATGTCACCACACTTATCTTTTTCAGCGAGAGCAATAGATTTTCACAAGCTTGGAACCTTTGCCTTCCAAACCAGTGTTTTTTTGATACTCGAAGCAGAAGCCATTTTCGTACTCTGAGAGGTAAGAACCTTTCTTTGTTTTTGTTTTCTTATTTCCCATGGTTAAATGGCGTCAGTCTTCCGGTAACTCATCGGAGATGAGAAACTCATGTCGGGTTCGAGCCATGAATGGCGGCTCGAATCATGCTGTTAGGGTTTTCTTTGGGATTTAGAGAGTTTGTTTCCCTCCACGTCATCGTACGGAATAGTGTACGACGGCTACATGACCCTCCTGCTTGTCACTTTTGCAGACCAGCAGAATGGACCCCTCAACGACCAGATCCAAGGAAGGAATCGATTGTCCCCATAGAGTGCTCCGAGTATCACTCCTAAGGTCTACTCGGTACTTACCGGGGAAGAGCTCGAGAGGGTGATAAAGCAGTATGGTATCAGCGTGGAATTTTTTCGCAACGTGGCCCACTCATCTCGATACCCATCAAGCGGGATGGCCGCGATCTCCGAGGAGATCATCAAGGGTGGGTGGTTGATTCCCTTCCACCCTTTTGTCCGGTCGGTCTTGGATCACTTCGGGATAGTGTCGATGCAACTCACTCTGAATGCGTAGGTCATTGCTGTTGCCATGTACATCGCGTATCATGAGAACGGGCTGGGTGAGCTAACCGCGACGGAGCTCGGCTGCTCGTATTTCTTGAAAAAGAGCAAAGACAAGGATCTTTATTACTTGTCCAGGTGACCTACTATCGCCGAAGGGATACACAGTTACCCTAGCAACGTGGGGGCCTATGAAACAAAGTTTTTCTTCTTTCGCTACGACAGCCATTGCCGCTTTCAAGACCCGAGTAGGCTTTTTTCATTTGACGAATTCATTAAATTCAGAATGTGTTTTCTTTCTAACGACCTATTTCCTTTCTGGCAGTTAACAAGACGACTGACTTAGGGCTGCTCTTCGATCCGAATAGGATCGTGAATTTTGGCTTCCTGCCCGAGGATAGTCGCGACGCGAAGAAGCTCGTGACGACCGCGAACTTGCGAAAATACGGTTTCTTCAACGCAAACGCGTCCTTAGAGCCCCTACTGAGTGAGTCTTGCTAACTGATTCTTTTCTAGTCATAAAATGAAATACTTTTGCTAACGACATCTACGTGCAGCAACCATGCCTCCGAAGGTGTCAGAGCCGATGCGACGAAAGCATTCCAGTTTCCCGCGGTCAAAGACCGCCAAGGTGACCGACGCGGCTCCTGTCGATCCCCCGGCTGAAGGTGCCACATCGGGCGCCTCGGTGTGACCTACTGGAACTTCTCAACATCAACCTTCGGAGGACGCACCACTCCGAACCTTGAAGGCTTCCCAGCCGTCAGCTACTCGTTCGAGGCTAAAGACAACGGCTCAGCGAGCAAATAAGAGAAGGAAAATCCAGGTCGAAGAGTCAGAGACCGAGTCCGAGGGCGATCAACTTGGGGAGTTGCAGCCAGATGTCGAGAAGAGGTCGGGTAAGGAACCGACGGGCGAAACGACCCCGGCTGAAGGTGCGAAGAAGGGAACTCTAGTGCTGGACCGTTGGGGAACTTGCTGGAGTACTTGCAGTTGATAGTCTACACTTTGTTAGAGTGTGGAATCTCGAAAGTATTCGAGCAGTTCATAGGTTCCAGCGACGTGGACCTAATGTCCACATCAATCCAGCACTTAAGCAAGGTAAACGAACTGTCATTGGTGAAGACTTCCCTTAGTTCCTTTTGATAAACTTAACTTGCTATTTTTTTTTTTTTTTTTTTTTGTTCGCAGGCCCTGCTTTCCATGCAGCTGTCCCTGGAAAAGGTTCGCCTAGGAGCTGCAAAGGGAGAGGTCGCACTGAAGGAAGAGAACGCACAACTCAAGCGAAGCCTGAAAGCCGCCGAAGAAGAAAGAAACATATCTTCTGAGTCGGCGAACCGATACCTGAACGAAAGAGACGCAGCTCTTCGCACGGTGGACTTCCAAAAAGTCGAGCTCGAGAAGCACGGGGAGGAAATTAAGGAACTCCAAAGGACCATAGCCAGAAACTCCAAGGAGGTCAGAGAGAAGGACCAGGTGCTCAAAACGACCTCTCTGCAGGCCTTGCGAGCAGAGCAGGAGAGGGATGCCTCCGAGAAGCAAAGGCAAAACCCTCGAGGCCGAACTTCAGGTAAGTTAGGGAAAATTTGCTTCCCTGACCGAAGAGATGCAGAATCAGGCAACGGAGGTCGAGGAGAAGGCTGCCGAATGGGCGATCGAGTCTATCTATGCCCTGCGACCGAAGAATCCGCTACTTGATATGTCCGACGTCCCGGAGCATTGGCGGGAAACTCTCTTGTCCATGGCGCAGGAGGATGATGCAGCGGCGGCCGCCCAAAAATCCGATTAGATAGGGGGTTCGGGACATGCCTCGGAGAAGCCCCCAGCCAACTAGCCCTAGGACGATGAGGTCGGTCCTCTAGGAGTCAGATTAGGGCTAATAGTCGTACCATTTTGCCTGTTCTACTCTTCATATTAATGAAATACATTTTTGCTTTTACAATTTCTGTTCGCTTTATTATACATGAGTTTGCATTGTCTAAAATATTAGAACAAGCCTATGCGAACATGATAACACATTTACACGAACAAGATTACATGCGAAGACTGTTACAAGCTAACAGAATAACACTTTATAACGAAATGATTTACAAAAATCAAAAATTAATTTACAAGGAAAACTGAGATCGGAATTACTGATAGTATGGTAGAAGGTGCTCAGCATTCCAAGCTCGAGGTACTTTGGAACCGTTCAGCCTTTTGAGATGATAAGTCCCCGGTCTTATCACTTTGTCGATGCAGTATGGACCTACTCAGTTCGATCCTAACACTCCCGCACTTGGTTCCCTAGTACCGAGAACTTCTTTTAACACAAGGTCGCCGACCTGGAAGTCTCTTCGTCTGACCTTTGAATCGAAGAACCTCTTCGCGCGTTGTTGGTAGGTTGCTATCCTTAGCGAAGTCTTGCTACGATGTTCTTCAACAAGGTCTAAACTTGCTCTCATAAGTGCTTCGTTGTCGGCTTCACTGTACAAGTCCCTCCGAAGTGAACCAGTTCCTACCACCACAGGGATCATCGCTTCGCAACCGTATGCTAGCGAAAAAAGGTGTTTATGAGGTAGAGGTTCTTGGAGTTGTCTTGTATGCCCATAGGACTTCGGGGAGGTCGTCAGCCCAATTTCCTTTGGCTTTGTCGAGTTTAGCTTTTAGAGTGTGCTTGATGGTTTTGTTGACAGCTTCAAC